ACTTTTACAGCTCTAATTTGTGAGTGCAATATAAACTACACAGAAATCATGTAGTAAGCCAGAACTAGGCTTGAGGCAGACTGTCAGCACTCAAATTCTGACTTTACCATTAAAAATTATTAGTTAGTCCCAGGTACCTAGGTATTCTCATCTATCAAGCAAGGAGAAAAACAGCACCTGTTTCATATTAGGAGAATGAAATGAGATTATGCATGTGTGGCACTTAGAATAGTGCTTTAAATAAAGCTAATACTTGACAAATACTTTCTAATAGTAAATTCTGCTTTCTCAATAATTCAGATACAGATCAGTTCATGAGGAAGTAGGCAGAACATTTAGTAAAGGTAAACAATGCAAAGAGAAGCATACTGTGATTTTGGTCCTGGGGCTGGTCTCCGTGTGGCGAGAGCCCTCGGGCACGTTCACTTTCATGTAGGTATTGGGTGAGTTCAGCCACCTCGTTTTCTCACGCTGCTGTCTCTGTGCCATGTACTTGAGAGGAGAGAGTGGCACTGTGTCGTCTTCAAAGGAAAAAGCAGTCACAGTTGCTGGGATTTCCACATCACTCTTGTGTCGAGGCTTCTCTCGAATGAGAGGATGCCTATAAGCATAGCCTGTTCTATATCCCTGAGGAAGGGAAAGCCGCAGCTGAAGCAATCAAATCTGTACCAACACAACATCTGAAGCTTATTTCTTCAAACAAATGATTCAAAAAGACTCTTCTTGAAAAACAAAGAGGAAAACATCTTTTAAAACCCCACTATAACCTCTCCATCACACCAGAGTTGAAGTTAAGCAAATTTCAAGATCTGGTTAAAACTGATTTCAGCTGGGCTGGGGATTTAGCTTAGTGGTTCCGGCGCCTGCCTCGAAAGCACAAGGTCCTGAGTTGATCCCTGGTACCAAAACAAACAAACAAAAAACCCCCCAAAAAACAAACAAACTGATTTCAGCTGGTACTCTCATTTCCACTCATACAACTGTTCCTGACAAAGGAAATTTTGAAACTGCTGACCAGAAAAACTTTCCTACCTATAATGTAGTTTTTGGGGAACTAAATCTCAGTGCTCATTTAAGTCTTTGTCCCTGGTTCTGAAGGGAATTTGCCTTCTGACCCTTCTTGGAAGCGGGCAAAATCTAAGACAAGGTGACATTTGTCAGGCCAACAATGTAGCTCAGTGGTAGAGTGCTTACCTAGCAGGCATGAGGCCCTAGCTCTGCAAAGAAGAAAAAGAAAAGCAAAAGCTGAGCATAGTGACACATGCCAGTAATCCTAGCTCTTGGGAGGTATAGTTTAGAGGATCCTAAGTTCGAGTCCTGCCTAGGCAACTTAGTGAGATGCTACCTCAAAAAATAAGAAATTAAAAGAGCTGGTGATGTAGCTTACTGTGAAGGCCCTGGGTTCAATATCTACTACAAAAAAAAAAAAAGAAAGACATTTGCCAAACCATACATCTGCTAAGGGGCTAATATCCAAATATATAAGGAACTAAAACAACTAATAACTAACAACTAAATAACAAGAAAAGAAGTATTTTTCAATAACAATTAAAAATGGGCAAGAGACCTGAGTAAACAATTCTCAAAAGATGACACTCAAATGCCCAATGAGTACATGAAAAGTATTCAATATCATTAACCATCAGGGAAATGCAAACTTTAAAGCCTATCTGTTAGAATGTCTATTATCATCGCTTCTCAGCCTTTTGGCTAAGATCAAGTGTAGAATGTCTATTATCAAGGAGGCAAGATACAAGTGTTGGGGAGGCTGAGGGGAAAGGAACCCCTGTGCACTACTGGTGGGAATGTAAAATTAGTACAGCCTTATGGAAAACAGCATGGAAGTCTATGGTCCAGTAAGCCCCCTACTGGATATATACCCAAAGGAACGGAAATCAGTATGTTGATATACCTATACTTCCATGTTCACTGCAGCATTAGTCATAGTAGCTAAGATAAATAATCAACCTAGTAAGTGTCTATCAAACCTGATAAAATGAACAAAGAAAATGTGGCACAAATATATAATGCTATGTCATACGCCTTTAAAAAGAAGGAATTTCTGTCATGTATGACAACCTGGAGGACATTACATTAAGTGAAATAAGCCAGGCACTGAAAGACAAATACTGCATGATCTCACTTACATGTGGAATCTAAAAAAGTTGAATTCATAAAGCAGAATGAAATAGTGGTTACTAGGGACTTGGGGAGGGGAGAAGTTAGCCAAAGGATACAAAATTTCAGTTAGATAGGAGAGTTCAGTTCAAGAGATATGCTGTACAATACAGTGGCTATAATGAATGACAATGCACTGTATTCTTGAGGAAAAAAAGATACTTGCATATCTCAAGTTTGATTCTTAAAAATGTGGTTAAATTACACCAACATGCCTACCTTCAGTCAAATTCTCATCCTGGCAAAGAAATATATCTTAAAACCAAAGGAAGGTAAAAGTATCTGCTCTTGAATCTGAAGACATGAAACCCAAGTACATGTTCAATTTTTTTCACCTACCAAATTATCCAGAGTCCTCATCAGCCCTTCAAATTCAACTTCTCCAACCTTCCATTTCTGCTGGGAGCCCATGTTTACCCCTCCTCCTCCAGCTGCTGCTATAGTGTGAGTGAAAGCCTTATACTTCTGAAGATCCAGGACAAACAGATTGTCTACTCCACCTGAGCTTGCCAATGCCCGCACCTGCAACCAATAGGGAAACATACAGACACATAAAACTGGAAAGATTGTCAATGACTATATTACTTTCAAAAACGGACAACTTTAATGTGGCAAATATCCGTAATACTTATTTGGGCTACTAACAATGACAAAGCAACACTCTTGGGCAAGTAGGCAGCCGAAATAGCTTTTCCATCTAGCTGAAAAAGACATCTCCCAGGACTCTGGTCCTCCTGCTGGAAAACACATTTAGACTCACATCTTTTAAAAATATTTCAAGCAACTGAGTTCTCTTGCCAAATTTTAAAGTTCTTTTCTTGACATTTTCCCATGACTATCTAGTTAATATTTTTTGCTGAAAGGTATAATTTAAACAGGAATTTAGGGACACTATACTTTGAATTTAAGGATATTTAGACAGAAGTTGTGAGCTCATTGTCTCAGTCTTTCGTAGCCCCATTTGAGAAGAGGGACCATTAAAGCAAAAAAGAAGTTGGTTAAGACAAGATACACTCGGTAGACGTTTTTTTTCTCTTCCAACTTTCTTGTGACACTTCCAACTGACTATTACCATTTGCTTTAAGAGAATCTGGTTTGCTTTTCTTTAAGACAGAAATTAGAGCCTTTATATACACTCAGCTACTCTGAGGAAAAAGTGGTTAATAAATATCAGGTCTACTAAAGGAGCTATAGAACTGATACAAACTGCCTGAGTTCATAAAACTTCGGGCTGTACAGTCTGTCTTTTATGAAAGTGGCCACAATGCATTTGATTCTTGATTTGCGGCTGCTGCTGCTTCTCAATTACCACTAAACTAGAGGGTGAAAACAGAAAGGATTGTGGAAAAAATGATGTTTATTAAGACATTCAGAATTATGTGTTTATGGATTTTAATGTCCTTTCCTCCTATTTTCAGCAAGAAACAAGTGAGTTGACAAGTCTTTTTACTTCAGTAGAACTTCTCTTAAAAGGCAAAACAAAAAGCCACTGATGAATAGGTTTTGGAAATACATAAACATAAAATCCAACAGGCAAAGAGTAAAGCAACAAAAGGGGTATTTTTTTCCTACCTGAATCTCACAGGCTATCTGCACATTAAAAATATAATGAAAAGCCTCTTCAATTGTTTCTCCAAGTGCTATCACTCCATGATTCCTGAGTACCAGCACCTAAAATAGAATCCCCAGAGCAATCACTTTAAATAACTGGCATAGCTCACACTGCTTTCATCAACAGTAGCAGGAACAAAAATAGCTCCTTAGATAGATTCTTACTACACACCTTACAACTTGGCCCCAGAACTTTCTGCAGTTGAATTCTCTCCTCCTGTTCATCAAGTGATCCTTGGTAGTCATAATAGGCGATGTCTCCCAGGATAAGGGACTCTTGAGAAATTGGAAGGATCCCATACTTCATGGAGGACACCTATTTTATTGGATCCATACCAACAAAGCACATTAGGTTACTGCATACATTTTCATAGGAACTGACTCTTTAGGCAGCTCAGGAAGCATGGTGTTCACTACTGCAGCCCACTCCCACTTTAGTTCTTCACTTCTTCCAGGAAAAAAGGGGGGCCTAGGGAATACAACTCAATTTACATGTTATGTCAAATATTATGACAGAAGTTTTGTTCTAAAAACTCAATGACACAATTATAAACTGATTAGTTTTAAAATCCAAATGCTATCTCTCCAGTTGTTTTCTACAATGGTAGCATTTGGCCTGAGCCTTTTGCTCTCCGGTTATGCAGAGGATTAATATTTAAAATATGATTTTGATGGCAGGGTCTGAAGGAATGCAGACAGTAAAGCAGCATGTTGGGAAAGTCATGAACATAATACATTTTCCAAAGTCATTATTGGTTTTGGTTTCTCACTGACTTACAGCTGCTGTAGCAAGTGTGTGGATGTGTATTACACACTTAACATCAGGACGTGTTGAATAGATTGCAGCATGGGGGCTGAATCCTGTATGATCAATTTTCAAATTAGTACTTCCCTGGTCAACCACTTCTCCTATTATATTGACTTTTACCTGGAAAAATCAAAAAGACATATTTAATTGGTATAAATGTATCAAAGTTTGTCTATGTTCCACAAGCTAAGCAGGGAGTGGTAAACTGTTGTGGAAAAGGTCATACAGTAAGTATTTTTTACTTTCTGAGATTCCGTTGCAAGACTTTTTGTGTTGTCATGGGAGTGCAAAAGCAGCAAAGACAATGTGTAGAAGAATGAGGCCTGCCTGGTGTGGCGGCCTGTGTTAGCACTCTGGGGGCCTGAGGCAGGAGGATCGCAAGTTCAAGCTCAGCCCGGGCAGCGTGGTGAGAGCTTGTCTCAAAATAAAGAATAAGAAGGCCTGGGTACTAGAGCTCAGTGCAAAGGCCCTGGGTTTAATCCCCGTACCAGGAAAAAAACTATACCAGTTTTTTTCCGATACAACTTTGGAAAGCACAAAGTCTACAACAAAACTTAGTATTTAGCAAGAAGCAGAGTTTGCCAGTAACTGAGTAACTTCATTCAGCTCTTCACTAGGGATTTGGACAAATTTAACATTTTCTGAAACAGTTGGAAAATTTTCATTTACTAACATTGTAGCACCCAATGTAGCTCCTGCTGTTGTATGAGTTGATGTCAGTGGGTAGGAAGATAATCATGGAAAAGAGAAAATGCTAGTTCAGATTCTATACTTAACATTGCTTACATTTAGCTACAAAATAAACAGCCTGTTTGCTTTAAAAAGGATTCTGGAGTGTATGGGATGGAAAAAAAAAAGGATTCCCTTCAAAACATAAAAAGGTTAACTGATGTTAATTCCAACTCATTAGTCCCTCAACCACTGTTTTACTTGAACTCTAAAGCTTTTCTTAAAAATCAACATTAATTTTCCAGACCCTTCATTGTTCACTAGTGTTTTTCCATCCATACCAACTTGTTCCATTCTGTGCTAAAAACTAAAAACTGTCAGGAAAGCACAAGGGAGATCCGAAAAAGTAACACAGGAATGAAAATTATACCAAATTGGAAGCTGTGGCTTCAGAAAAAGATAGGCCTCTGGGAATTATTATAATGTGGTCTTGCTCCTTACTTATTCTTACCTGGAAGAAAGAAGAAACAACAGAGGCTTACTTCAAGGGATATGTATTTTTTAGTGTAAATGTTATGAGCAATAGTTTTCAATGATCTATGGGGATAAAACAATAATGCAAAAATTCTAAGTCTGCAATATGAAACTTTTCTTAAAAGTTTCCCTCCATTTTCAAATACTGGCTAAAAAACTCAACACTTTTTCCATTTTTAAAGGTAAACGTAGCTTTTTTAAATTAAATTTTTTTTTTTACTATTTTCTTATTTACTGGGCTTCTCTAAAGTTATTTTGGGGTTTCAACATTGCTTAAGGTCAGATCGATTCAAGAAAAATAAATGCCAATATTACTCAACCCAATGTAGAAATGATTATAATCTTAATTTGCAATATGAAAATTAAGGGAAAACAGGCAGGAAAGATAACAAAGTCTCTTCCTAGAAAGGAATAAAGTAAAAATGGAACTTGGGGAACTAAGAAATGTCCAGGGAGAAAAAAGATTTTGGTGGACTGTACTATGTGTCTATGTCATTCTCATCACACTCCATTTTAATATTTTTTTCATTCCAAAGAGTATCTTACTTCTAAATGTGAAAAAAACCTCCAAGAAAAACACATTTAAATATAAACACCAGGGAGAAACTTTCCTGACCCTTTAATTTTTCTTGGCCCAAATGTTTTTCAATGCCACTCATGTCAGATATAATTAACAAGGAGAGGGATAATTCTGCCATAGTACTTTTTCCTTGGATAGTTGGTCTGTGTCAAAGGAACAACACAGGTAGCAGAGAGAAAGCTGTCATACTTGTAGCCTCTCTCTTGGAGATACTATTTAAATCAGCATTAGGTTGTAACTCAGCATACTGAGTTCAGAGAAAAAAGTCTGAAAACTGGACTTCCAAGTAAAAGTGAGGACATGGTTGCTTTTTAATTGAATTAAAAAAAAAAAAGAAGTAAAAGTCAAAGAACTCACTGAGATGTATGTACTTGCCAGGTGAGCCCATCCAAATAAATCTGCAAGTCTGTACAGGCTGGCAAGTTTACAACGAGTAAGTTTTTCTCCTTTCACATATGAGGATGTATCTGTACCCGGAAGGTCATTAATAGGTGTGACCATGCCAAGACCTAAGACAGGAAAAATTGTGGAGAGAGATTCAGAGTCAAATAATATCTTACCTGGAAATGAGATGTCAGAAAGTAGCCAGTACTGGGATTAAACAGCCTTGTAAATAACCAGTTCATACAGTGTTTTATTAGCTTATCCTTTTTCAGAGAAGCATACCAAGAGTGAAAGTAAGTATCAGCCATCTCTGTGATTGCTTGGTAAAAGTTACTTCTACTACTTGCTGGGGAGTGACTATATCAAATCACTGGGAAAAAATGGTTCCATGATTCCCGAGGTGAAAAGTTTTATTAAATATTGAGGCTACGGCTAATGTTATGATGAAAAAGACCTCAAAAGAAAGATACTTTTCTAATATTTCTTTTGACTTTTATTCAAACATAAGAGATCAAGATTAAAGAATGCATACAAATAATAATCTAGTTTCTGCTCTTTTGAAGGTCTCTAATGACCCAATTGCCAAGTTCAACTGTTGCCAATTTCCAAGTTCAACTTGTGTTCAGTCTTCATTCTCCTTGACCCCTTTACTGCCTGGCACCTTTTACCACTGCCTCTTTTCTACAATTCTTCCCCTGGCCTAAGTGATACCATCCTTATACTGTTTCTTTTCTCTTTGCACAAGTTCTATTCCTCTTCCTTCCTCCAACTGTGGCTCTTTGTCAAAGCTCAGGCTTCTACTCTGCCCCTTTCTCATTTTACTTTTCTCCATGAAAACATTATGCACTCCTAAGCCCCCTCACACTTATTACTGTGTAATGACACCTTGGTCTTTATCTCTGACCATGACTTGCTCCCTACCCTTCAGCCTAACAGCCTGCAACACAAAAGCACACAAATTAAAAGGTTCTAAAAGTGATTTTAACCTCTATTTTTCTTATTTTCTCTCTTCTCTCAACTTTTCTGGTATTGATGACCTTACAAATCCTGCAGGCTATAAGAAACCCTTAGTAACCTTTAACTCTTAACCTTTCCTGGGCCACCACAGATGATTTGCCAGCACATTCCGTCACTCTCTTCACAAGGTTCCTCAGTTCCATATTCGAGTCCGGGCCCTAACTCCTGGGTGGACCCCACAATAACCCCTATCATTCCGAAGAGAGCCATTTGAGATTCCTAATGTCTTGCTTTTAATCTGAGAACACAAGCCCAGTCGGAACTTTTAAAGAGAAGGCCCGAGTGTGAGATCTAGTTGTGAAATGGTGCAAACTAATTCAAAGGAAGTTTTAAGCCTATGTTAGCCATGAAAAATAGTATAATTTCTGACATTACCCTATCTCGTACTTTCCCCTACCCTTTCCAATTAACTTCCACTCTTCACACCACCACATAAGTGTGCCAGGCAAACTGCCTGGTTTCCACTTTCTGATATCCGAACAGGGCGCCAAGGCTGTGCTGCCGCCACCCTCTGCACGTTCCAGCAGGTCACCCAGACCCCTGCAGCTCTGTGTTCCTGACACGGAATCTAAGACATGTACAGGACAGCCTTTCTTACTGTTCTGTTTTCCCTGCCTCGTGTTCCTCTCAGAAGCTAAGATTCTCATTTTGGATGCTTCCCTTCTGTCTGTATCTCTTGTATGAGCATCTAATCCACGCCTAGGCAGTGTGCACTCTTCTTCACGTCCCGTCAAGACTCTCCGGAGATCTCAGGCTGTGTTGACTGCTGTGCGTTCTGGCCATGCAAACTGAGCACACTGAAAGCTGGACTCCTCCATTTTCCAAGCCAAACTAGATCCCTATATCTGCACTTTCCTATTTTTGTTCAAATTACAAAATCTCCCAGTCCATTTCTTACACAGAAAATACAGTGACTTTTAAAAATTACCTCCTGTTTAAAATGGCTTCCTACCAAAGTTAGGAGTAAATTTAAACTTTCAAACCTGGCTGTGACATGATTTATATCAAAATCACATTTTCATATAATTTGGTTTGTTTTTTATCTGACTTTACTTGTTCCTTGAAAACCATGCTCCAGACCATTATTATCATTATTATTATTTTTGGTACCAGGGATCGAACTTGGGACCTTGCGCTTTCGAGGCAGGGGGTGGCACCACTGAGCTAAATCCACGGCCCCTTAACCATTATTATTTCCGACCCCCAACAAGACCAGTCATTCCTACCATTTGTCATCTGAACTACTGTCCTCAACCTTTCCATCTTGGTATGGTTCACTCCTTCTTCCTATTTAGATTGCAGTTTAAATGTCATACCCTCGGAGAGGTCTTCTTTGGTTCCCCGGTGCTCGCTCTCTCATATCACCATATTATAACTCTCTGCAGAGCACTCCCTGTTACCTGATCGTCTTACTTACTTGGTCTGTTTTCTGTCTTCCTGAGAAAAGGAATCTTGTCTGTATTGTTTACCAGTGCACTCCCTGTTCCTAAAAGGAACAGATATGCTCAATATTATGCAAAGAGCGAAGCAAACTAGTACTACATTTGAGTTTTTGCTTTTGCTAGCAGAATGTTTCTCTGAAGCTAGAGAACTCAGTCATTAGGGAACCCTTCATTCTTTCCCTCCCCAAGTACATCAAATTTCTTACGAGGCCTCTCTACTTTTCCTTGGCTATGCTCTCACTATTCTTTTCCCTTAATACCAGTGATGGCAAACCTTTTAGAGCTTTCAATGATACAGTCCACTGCAACACATGAACTACAGGTTCGCCACCACCGCTTTATACCCACAACCACTCCTTTAATTCAGGCACGTATATCTCACTGCTCTTTCCCTTTCCTGGTACTCACATTATCACCCATCTAGTCTTTCCTCACAAGGTTTTCTCAGTTTCTGTGCTGGTGGTCCTCCTTGGTCTGACAGCAACGGCCCTGTCAGTCACCCAGCTCCTCTCTAGACTCCACACCAGGACTCTCCGATGCAGCATCGAAAGGCCCACATGGAGTACTACAAGCTTAGCCTCACTCGTGTGTTCTCATCACCACGATGCTTCTTCACACTTTACCCTCCATCTAGAAAATACATGAGCTCACTGAAATCCTACTTAGATGTTTCTAATAAAAATAAGGGAAAAAGGAAAAGAGAGGCAGCAAGTGTAAGAGAGAAAAAAGGAAAACCCTTCATCCCTTCAGTGTGACTGAAGCAGTCTCCATTAGTGCTCTCAGGCCGTGCAGTGAGCTCTGTGTGTCTCACAGCTGAAATACACAGCACGGAAGCTAAGACCTTGTGATTCCTGGTGGCCTTACAGTGTTCAGTTCGCCAAAGTGGTTTTATCACTAAAGAGCTGTTGAATGAATAAAATGTCAAAATCCTTTTATATCCAGTTTTAACTATTCTTTTTTTTGGTACTGGGGATGGAACTCGGGACCTTGTGCTTGTGAGGCAGGTGGCAAAAGCACTGAGCTAAATCCCTGGCCCATATTCTATCTTTTAAAGCCTGATTCGTTGAGACCTGTCTTCTTCCATCAAGTTTTCTTAAGTCTATTCTAGCCAGAAATCAATTCCAACTCTGAGCTCACAGCATGATGACTTATGAAAGCTCTTTAGACAATTTCTTATTAACAACTTTGTAATGTTTTTCTCTGTAGCTACCTTACAGTATTAATTAAAATATACTTATGTGGGGCAGGGACCATGTCTTAAGCTATTCTGCAATTGTTATGAAGTCTAGTAAATGCCTGATTGATATGAAAAAGAGATTCTAATACTATGGTACCCTGGGTGTTAGATATTATAACTTAATGACTGGACCTGAGCTGAATATGCACCTAGGGACATCAGTATTCTAAAGTAGAGAGAAAAGTGTAATTTTTTTTTTGTACCGTGGATCGAACTCGGGTCCTTGTACTTGCAGGGCAGGTGGCAGAACCACTGAGCTAAATCCCCAGCCCCTAAAAAGTGTAATTTTTAAAATTCTCCAAAACTGACATACTGAGTGGAGGTGAAGAAAAGCCTGAGAAAGAACTGGTCATGATGTAATCTGCAATCTGCTGTAATGCTAGTAATCCACTTGGGTTGTGGCCTTTCTTCATCTGTTCTTGAATAAGGCATTCCAGGTCTTCCCGAAAGGCCTGTAATACACAAAAATAATCACTGAGCACATATTTTCACTTGAAGCAGAATGAACCAAATTTGTTCTGAAATAATCATCCTTTGCTCTCTTTTGAATAGCTTTTACCTACACTATATACAAACAAATATAAGACATAAAATAAAACTGAAACACTGGAAGCAGCAGCAAGAAGCCTGCTTTCAGGCTAGGTGAAAAAAATAATTCTTAAACTCAAAGAAAATGAGATAGTATTATATCCACACTAGACAGTACACTAAAACAACTGTCACTAAAATGCAACTTGAGCACCAGGTGTGAGGCAATGCTGAAAGAGCCATTCCTTGCTTAGGTGCATTGTCATCTAAGTCAGGACAGCCCCTATTTGAACAGGGTGCCACTTTGTATAGATTCACAGCAAAAGCTGTTACTAAGACTTACTAAGTCACAGCTTCTGTTTTATGATTTCCATGGCAGTTCCTTAGCTCCAGGAACTCTGCAGGCAGAGTAATAGGAAGAGTCAAGAACTAATTATTCCCCTTCACCAAAACTATACTAGAGAAATTACACTTTTTCCAACTCTGGGCTCCATGTATTCCTATTCTGGACTCTTGCTACTTTTGTGGGGGGACACAGGAACAAAAGGGAGATATTACACTTTCTGTTAATAAGAATATGTGGGTGATCAATTTTTTAAAAACACAACTAACTGTGACCACATTTGAATTCTGACTTCATGGAACAGTTTTCACTAGTTAAATGTAATTTTACTTCTA